ATATATATATATATATATATATATATATATATATATATATATAGAGAGAGAGAGAGAGAGAGGAGGGGGTTTAGATTGCAAACCGTCTATTTCATGTAAACTATCGAAGCCACTTTCAACCAATAAAAAAATTCCATATTTTTTTCTTTATTTTTAATAAATATGGGTATGAATGTTATTTTACTTTGTAATGGTCAATGAATCTTGGTAATGTTTTAATTGTTTTTAAATATGAAAAATTAAATATAATAAATGTTTTTATGGGAGCTGTAAATTAATTTATTTTAATATATAATTATTATCATTAATATTTTATATTCTCTTATTAAATAAAAAACACTACATCAATTATAAAGTCTATTTGTAATAATTTATTTCTTATAAAATTATTTATTTCATTGTCATAGTAACAAAAGAATCAATATTTTTTTTTTCAATTTACAAGTAATTATTATTAATAACAATGGTTTGTCAATTTTGTCCCTTCTTGATTAAATATTAAACCTTTTATTTATTTTTATATCTTTTTTACTTTCTTAATATAACACATTTTAATCATGAACATTGATCAAAAAAATGGATTGATGAGATTGGTTTGTAGGGTTTGCACAAAAGGGATGGTTTGCATTTGATCGCACCTATATATATATATATAGTTTGTTTCAAATACAACCCGTCGTATTTGTACAACTAATGCAACTCAATAAATTGAGATATTTATGGAAATGATGAAAGTTCATTTATTATAATTTGAATATTTATGGAAGATGAATATGGTTCATTAATTATGATCAATACTTTATATTAGAAAACAATCAAAACTTCTAAGAAAACAATCAAAACTTCTATGAAATCACATATTAATCAAATGAAATGGACGGTTAAGATTGGGTTGTATTGGTTGCACAAATGTCAAGGGTTGTATAATAACCAACCTCTCTCTCTCTCTCTCTCTCTCTATATATATATATATATATATATAATTGAAGGTTTTCAAGCCATTTATAAGTTAATTTTTCTATCTGGATAAATTTGTCTGTCTCAGGGATGAGAGATTAATGAGTTTGAGCAGAAGCGAAACAATCAACCTATTGATATTGAAAGACCGAACGGATTCTTCCAAATGTATCATTTTTGGGTCCAACGGAATTCATAGATATAGGAAGAAGCGCTATCAAATAGAGATTTTTTCTTTCGATCATATTTCGATTGACCCTATGAAGCTTCACTATTCATTGGGATTGGCTTTATGGTATTAATTCGTTTGATGTTGCTTAATGGTGACACGGTGGATCCTGTCTTGTTTCATATAATTATTTTGGTTTAACGGCTTAATAATAAAGCCATAAGAAACACTCTTGTATGCTTGATAGCATAATCTGCTTAACGCGTTAAGTTCATTAAGTTACAAGTAAACAACCTTAAAAGTCAATTTATACGATTGACTTGTGAGAATATGTGGAACCCTATTGGTTACTCTTTAAAAGCGTCATTGACTAGAGAAAGAAAGTTCCAACATATGTAGTTGAGAAGTGGTGGAAGTCTAGCTTATGTGTGACTCTAACACGCCTAGGGATGGTGATTTGCCCTGACCCGGTGTGGAACCTGGCTCACCCGAATCGAACGGGGACGGGGATTTCTCGCTAAAACGGGTCCCGAGACCTGGGGTCCCCAGTAGACTCAAACCGGGGTTGGGGCCGGGGCCAGATAGCATATCCCCCGCCCTGCCCCATACCCGGTATATAATTTTATTAATATATTTTATATAATATATGTGTATATATTATTTATTTTCTAAAATTAGGTCTTGATTGAGAACGAGGATTGAGGTTTGATCAGAAAATAAATCAGGGACGGGATGTTAATTCCCGTACCCCCTGGGACCGAGGCCGAGGCCGGGGGCGAGGGGCCAGACTGGTGAAGGGCCAAGAGAGTACAAATTTCTCTAGCGTGTTGAGTCACTAGAGTGTTAGATCTTGGCTCTGATACCATGTGAGAATATGTGAAACCCAATTAGTTACTTTCCAAAAGAGCACTTGAAGAGAGAAATGAGGTTCCCACGTATAATGGAAAATTAGTCGAAGTCTAACCGATGTGAGATTCTAACATGACTAAAACATATAAGTCAAAAGAACAAAATAATGTTGAAATACAATCGTCAATCAGATCAAAGCTTATTCAACTTAGGGGTTGTTTGTTTACCTCTTAATAGTTCCATTAAGAGGCAACATCTGAATTGCTAAGAGACGAATCTTTGTTTGCCAAAAAAAAGTCTGCCTCTTAATGGTTCTAAAACCCACTGAATGATTTGTATCTTAGGTCCCCCTTAACCATTCAGCACCCTAGTTTCATTCTAAATAATTATTAAACAATTATATTTCGTTTTGCGCTATATTATAAGTGCTTCTTAATCATTCTGACCACTTAGGGGGTGTTGGGGATTACTTATAAAAGCTGATTTTTAACTTATTTTAGTCTGGTACTGATGATAAGCTGTTTTCTGGTGTTTGGATAAGAAAAAAAAAACTGCTTATACCAATGCCAAACCGGTAATAAGTTGTTTTTGATAAGTTAATCCTTCCTGACTTTAGAAAAACTGCTTATTACCAGTTTACAAATTTAACCCTGTTTTATTTAACTCCGATTTGATACCACATAAGTTAATAAGCACTTTTACAAAAAAAAACATAAGTTGTTTTAAATAAGCAATCCCAAACACCCCCTTAATCATTTTGCACAAAATCATTCAACAACTGTCAAACATCCTCTTAGTAACATATATACGGGCAATTGGGTGTATATCTTTTCAACGGTTAATTACTAAATACAAAACGACGTTTTAAAAATCGAGTACAAAAATGTATGTATATTATTTGACACGACGTATTTTTAACTAAATTTATTTATTTATTTCATTTACTTATTATTACTAATCGTTATTTTTAGCAATTTAGAATCGTTACGACGATATAATACTTAAAAGCAAACAACGAAGTACTTCAAATTGTGTCCAAAAATAATATTACTTCGAAGTAGTTTGTAAACGTTATAAACGCAACTGAATAACATCAAGAAAAACAACTGCAATACCTAAGGTATATATTTGTTAGCAGCTTAATAAGACGCATAGTTTATTAGGAGAAACTATACATGACTGTTTGGCCGTGACTTAATGATATAGAAAGTGACGTATTCAATAAGCTTCTAGGGGAGCAAAGCCGAACTTTTTCCAAATCTGTCCTCCCAATTGGTTTGTAACTGTATAGAATTTTACGTACCAATTATAACTGGTTGGTACACGGTATCAAGGAAAAAAACCTTGGTACCATACCAAGTCCACCTCTAGGCTCTACAAAAGGCAAGATGTATATAAATCTGTACAAAAACGTATTATCCTACATTTGGTGTAACATTAGATGAGACAAAATTGGTAAATTATTAAAATATAACGAGAAAATTAAAACCCTAATACGTCTGCATCTTCACCTAGATATATCTATTTCACCGAACCTCTCTGCAAGACAGTGCCCATGTCGCCACACAGAGACCATGGGGACGTAAAAATGAGAGGGGGATTGACTGCACGAACTAGGGGTGCTCAAAAAACCCGACCAACCCGATCAACCCAACGCGAAATAACTCAACTCGAAGCAACCCGATGTCTAATCGAGTTGTAAAATTTTCAAATCGTAGGTATTGGATTGATATTGAGTTACTATTATTTGAACCTAACCCCACGCGATGAACCCGATATCCTTTTATTTCTTGGATTTAATATGATTGTTGAATATCTATTAATATATACATTAGACAATTACACTATCACGTACGCTCTTCATATATACATATTTTCAATATATTTTCTATTTATATATAACTCATTCGTATATATGTTAAGTAACTATAAACATATATATGTAAATTAAGAAAACTAATTGAATGTGATATATGTAAAAAATAGACATAACTTGTATCAAATGTTTGATGATGAAAAAGAAATTATAAGTGAAAAAATAACATATACAAAATTAGAAGAATATTTTAATGTACCAAAATATCAACCTGACCAACACAACCAACCCGTACGGTTTTGGGTCGGGTTGCACTTTAGTTTGACTTGGGTTAAGATTTTTCAAACCGCAGACATTAGGTTAGGTTGTTCAAATGTTTTCAACCGATCAACCCAACCCATGAACATCCCTAGCACGAACTGCTACTTTTCCAGTACGAAACAATCAACCTATTGATATTGGAAGAATTCAGTCCAATACTGTCTGCATACCAAACGTACCCGTAAACGTAACGAATAGAATAACAAACCCAAAGCAAAATCCATTAAAATTTGGTAAAGAAACCTTTTTCAAACATCAAAACCTATCTTTTTATCTACGTAATTTCATCTGAAAGCTACATGTACAAAACAAATAACAGAGAAATCATACAACTTCCTATCGATCGATCGACTATTATCAACGACTATTTCTCTACGCTAATATGCAATCACATTCCGGTATTTAGATAAACCCGACAACAAACCATTGTTCGATCCTAAATGGCTCAGAAGAACTCTCGCTCGACTTACATTCAGTTGTTTCTCGGTCTGTCCACGTTTACACTCGAGTCCAGTGTCGATAGTATTTGCGGCATTGACATGCCCCCGGATACCACAATTTCTGCACCACAGAAAAAAAAAACAACAAATGTCGCCTTACTGCCGTAAAAAGATGTGATTTGACGTTTTTGCCCTTGTTATAAAAGATATCTAATGTATCAAGATGAAGTAAGTCCATTCGTTCCACCAAAATTGCAACGATTACCTATTTAAAGGTTATTTTAGACACTCGACATACTCCATCGGTCCCAAGATAAATGTCCACTTTCAAAAGTAAGTTTTTATTTTTCCAAATCTACCCTTAAGGTTGAGATGGATAAATTCGTTACTCCCTCCATGACTAAAGGTAAAACTGTTATTTAGTTGATTAACAAAGTAAAATAATTACAATTACCTATTTAAAGGTTATTTTAGACATTTGACATGCTCCCTCAGTCCCGAAATAAGTGCCCACTTTCAAACATAAAGTCCATGTTTTCCATTACCAAGGGTAAAACTGTCATTTAGTTGTTTAATAAAGAAAAGGATCGAAAAACTCACCAATTCCTTCACGAACGGATAAGTTCGGTCTAATAACGTCCCTCGAATTCACCAAGAAGATATCACCGATGTAAAGATGGTTTGTTGGGACATATACGGAATATAGCTCCTCCTCCCCCGAATAATTCTGTAATCCCCGAAAATAAGAGTAATTTATATAAGAACTAAAAAAGAGGTGCAATACCACAACGTAAACAGGGTATACGAAAGGTCTACCCCGTCCGGGTGGGATGGGGTACATGCTTGGGATTAGAGATGGCTAAAATCTGGTCTCGGTTCAAGATTTTCCTTTCGCAACTGGTCCCGAACAAAAACACCCGTTCCTTTCTCCAAATACAAACCCGGTCCCTAGAACTGACACCGGTCTCGGTCCCAGGCCCGGGCCAGGTCCAAATCGGTGCCATTTTTTTCTCTCAAAAATCAATTTTAAACATATAAAAATTTGGTTGAAGGTATAATCTATGCTGTAAAAATCGCGATATATCGTCGATATATCGGCGATATCGGATATCGGCCTTAGAAAAAATATCGGTTCGTAAATATCGCCCAAAATATCGTTCCCGATAATATCGGCGATATTGTCCGATTTTTTCCCGATATTTACCGATATTTTGAGGTAAATATCGACCGATATATCGATATTTTTTAGGGTTCGATTTTTTGGGCTTCTCTCATTTTATAGGCTTAGATTTTTTGGGCTTCTCTTATTTTATGGGCTTAGATTTTTTGGATAAGTTAGGTCTCAAAAATCTGCTAATTTCCTTCACCGCTTCACGCCAACGGTCTGCTTCCATTCCCTTTCTTTTTCATCTTTACGACTCGAGGAACGAACCGAGTAATCGACAGCAACCAGCAACAACAGCAAGTCAGCAATCGACAGCAAGTCAGCAATCATCTTTTCTCGTACGAGTAATCGACAGCAACAACAGCAATCGACAGCAAGTCAGCAATCATCTTTTCTCGTACGAGTAATCGACAGCAACAACAGCAATCGACAGCAAGTCAGCAACAGCAACAGCAATCGACAGCACCTGAGTTCCTTGGTGACTCCCTGAGTTTATGCAGCGACAGCAACAGCAACAGCAGCCACCTGAGAGTTCCTGGTGACTCCCTCTGTCCCTCAACAGTTCCTGGTCCAGCCTCGAGGTCTTACTCTTATGTCCTAACTCCTAAGTCCTATCACCCACCCACTCACTTAATTATTCTTATTTATCTTAGTTAGAAGTTAGAAGTTAGAACTTAGAAGTTACAACTTAATTACTAAACAAAGCAATGGAAAGTAGAGAAGGGGGTCAATCTTCAAGGGCATCTGTGACCCCGATTACTACTACTACTTCATCAGACGCGGGTACAAAATGCGTTAGTGGTGATATGGCTTGGGAATGGGGGGTATGGAAAGATCCAACCAAAAAAAAAAATATATGGTGTACCTTATGAGATAAAAAAATGAGTGGAGGGATCACTAGGTTGAAAGAACACCTTACTCACAAGACGGGACTATACGAGGCAATTGACCGACTTGTGCGTGATGAAGAAAAAAATGATACTTTACGGATGGAACTCAATCAATATGTCGAGATATCGGGGCAATTTGGATCTGCGGCTGCCATAAGGAATAGAGCTAAAGTAGCACCACGTAAGTATGATAATAGGATATAATCATAATATATATATATATATATATATATATATATATTTGTGTTCTTTTATTCACTTAATATACCTATAAAACGTAGATGTATGGTGGCGTTCTTATGGCATCGACACACCCTTGCTCCAACAATTTGCGATTAGTGTTCTAAGCCAAACCTGTAGCGCTTCTCCTTGTGAGAGGAATTGGAATGCATTTGATCATGTAAGTTTTCTTTGTTATGGAAAATATATTAGCACAAATGAAACTTAAATTCAAGTTATGGTTTTAAATTTATCAATTATCATTTCAGTTGCACTCTAAGAAGAGAAATTGCCTTTTGCAAAAGAAGTTGAATGATCTTGTCTTCATTCAATATAACAAAAGATTGGAGAGGCGCTACAAATCTCTTAAGGATAGCAAGTCTTCAAATCCTATTTTCTTGAGAGATGTTGAAGAAAATAATGATTGGGTGGTTCCATCCGACGTTGAGCTCCAAGAGTTTGTGGATGCAAGAGATGGCCTCCTTTGGTCGGATGTACGAGAAGCAATGGGAGGTAATGAAGAAGTTGGACCAAGTACAAGAAGTAAAAGGGAGCGCTATAGAGATGATGATGATGATCATCATGTTGGAGATGAAGGGGACGAAGAGGAAAATTGGGAAGCTAACCTAAACGAAGAAGTGAATGTATTGGATGATGTTGACTCGGATGCCGAACCTATTGCTTGTGATTAGCTTGTTTTTGAACACTTTAGATGATGTGATGTTTTATTTTAATTTTGAAACTATATTTCTAAACTCTAATTAATGCATATTATATGTATAATTCTAAGAAATATTATGTTAACCGATATTTCCGATATATCAACGACATATCACCGATATAACCGATATATCGAATATCGGTCCTGACCGATATTTCGTATTCTGACCGATATAACAGCATAGGGTATAATATCTTATTGAAATACACTTTAAAATTTCTAATTGGGTCATTCAAATACACTTTAAATCTGTTTCACACAAAAATGTTGCAAATGTTTCTATAATTACGATTATTGAAATTTAGTATCAGAACACTTGAAAATAACTTGAAAAACTCAAAAACACACTTGAAGTTTTTGGTAAAAAAACTAGAAAATCTTGTAGAAATCTTGAAAAACTTGATATATAATTTATAAAAACTTAAATCTTTTTTAAAAACGAACCAATTTATAACCCAGTCCCGGTCCCATAAACCGATCTCGGGCCGAGCCTTGAATTTTCATAAAAAATGTAACCGGTCCCGGGCCACGCTTGGCCATCTCTACTTGGGATTTACGGGACTTGTTTAAAAGTACGTATTGTGTATTTGATTGTCGATCCTTATAGGCGGGGTCCACAAAAATGAAAATCATATAACTAACGGTACTTTTATCCCAATTCCCATATTAGGTTTAAGGATGAAACCTGAAGAATGACGGATGAAGTAATGAACCCAAATGCGTATTCACCAATACGAGGATGTCTAATGATAGCGACTTCCTTAAACGCTTGTGTGTTCTGATCTGCAATATTAACAAATAATGATGAAAAAGGCACACGGTTTAGAAATTTGTAATTATAACACTCTTTAATGAACTAAATGACAATTTTAACTTTAATAATATAGGAAGTAATGAATTTCTCCATTCATAATTAAGGGTAGAATTGGAAGCTAAGGGGCCGTTTACCCAAATGCTTATCCGGTAAGCACTCTAACTTACTTTACCGGGTAAGATTGTACTCCATCAGAACGGTATTGCATGTGATAAGTTTACCCAATAAGCACTTACCCGGTATAAATCCTTGACCTTTGTCATGTTCATCCTTAAGATAAATGGCCCGGTAAGCGCTTACCGTGTAAGCATTTAGTAAACAGCCCCTAAGACACTTAAGCCTGTTTATTAGCAGCTTTATGAGTTTAATGAGACTCGCAGCTTATTCGGTCAGCTATACATGACTGGCTTAGTGATGAAAAGTGGCTTATTCAGTAAGCTTCTAGAGGAGAGTTTTATGCAGAAAGCCAATTTTTTCCCAAACGTGCAAGCGCTTACCAGGTAAGCGTTTAAACAGCCCCTAAGACACTTGGGCCTGTTTGATAGTAGCTTAAAGAGCTTAATGAGACTACAGCTTATTTGGTCAGCTATAAACGAATGTTTGGTAGTGGCTTAGTAATATAGAAAGTGGCTTAGTAATATAGAAAGTGGCTTATTCAGTAAGCTTCTAGAGAAGAGGTTTACGCAAAAAGCCAAGTTTTTTCCCAACCCACCCCTCCCAATTAAAAAACACGCTCTTCCATCTACCCAAAAAAACCTCCCAAACAAAAACTTTTCCAATCCATACAGATAGATTAATCCACATAGACAACTTTATCGATACAGAAAGGGCATGTTTGTTAGCAGCTTAATGAGCTTAATGAGACTCGGCTTATGTAGTCAGCTATACATGACTCTTTGGTAGTGGCTTCGTGATATAGAAAGTGGCTTATTTAGTAAGTTTTTAGAGAGAGCTTTATGCAGAAAGCCAAGTTTTTCCAAACCTACCCCTCCCAATTTAAAATTTTGTTACTTCCATCTGCAAAAAAAAAACCCATCCTAAACAAAAATATTTCCAATCTATGCAGACAGATTAATCCACACAGACAGCTTTATCCATACATGACTTAATGGAAAACCAACCAAACTAGTATAACACAAGAAAATGAAGCACTACGAACCTGGAGATATAGCAGCACTAATTTGCTTGGAGGCATTGTAGATATGACGAACAAATGGCATTCGTTTGATGAACCATTCTCCAAGGCTTAGAACGGATGCACCCAACCATGACGACATGAATACCCCAACCAAGAATATGAACATTATGGACGTTATAAATCCAAGGCCTAAAAACAAATTGAAAACGATCAAGGTTACACCCGAGATGCGAGCAGGGTTATTGGCATAAGTTAAAAATTAGATAGAGGTCGGTGATACGTCCAACTAGTTACTCAACTTGCCTATGTTTACACTCACTTTAAACTTCAAGCATTACAAATGTCATATATGTTTAAATTTGGAAATAAAAATAGTGATTATTAATGCCTCTCTACCCCTTTGGGATAGAGGTCTGCATGCATCTTGCCGCACCTTCGAAGTCACTTGGTTTATGTACACTTGGTTTATGCACAAAGTGGAACACGCATGCTCCACCCCCACCTCATGGAACAAGCCTACATTTTACTAATACATCCTTAAGATAAAACTTAATTCTCTTCTAAAACATCAAAAAGAGTCCCTCTTTAAATTTTATTTTCTTTAAATTTCACTTTATCGTCCTCAAATATTGTTTTTATACATTTTATGTATCTTGGTTAGTTTATGTAATTTATTAAATATTAATAACAAAAAACAATCTAGAAAATGTATAAAATAAAATTTGGAAGTTTATAAACTTCATGTTTTCACGTCACTTTAATCGTCTTGAGAAACACTTTATAATGATATATTTCATTATTAAAAATATTTATTTTATTATAATTTAATTAATTATATAAATTAATCAAAATATAGAAAAAATATACAACTCATTAGAGGTAAATTGGTCATTTTACTACCCCTGTCCTATCTCACCAAACATTGAACAGTTCTCCTGTTAAGGAACAACCGGAAAAATAATTTCATAAAATGCTCAATATATCAACCGAAAGGCGAAAACAAAACAAGCATGTGCTCACCAAATATATCTATGCCAAGTTGAACATAGATTGGAGAGAAAAACCCGTCCACAAAATGTATAAACCACCATGTTATGTAGAAAGTAATAGCTATTGGCAATAGGATGACACTGCAAAAAGGATCAAAAGCATGCAAAAAGTGAGACAATGCACGTATCCAACATTCCGAACTAAATCCATAGTAGCTCTAAAAGTAAGTGTTGAATTAAGTGAAATGATATGGATTTGACTGGCCTTGGTTCAACAAATTATAGCATTCAAGCTCGGATTACTCTGATTTGTTGGTGGGTTCCTGTCCATGGGTGTAAGATCCTGCATCGGTTAGGGAGAGGGACTAAGGTTGCTTTATAAGAGACTGAATACTTCCTCTACTGAATGCGTTTTTAAACCGTGAGCCGAGGTATGGACAAAGAGGACAACATAATGGGGTTGATATCTACTGGTTTCTGGTTTGTTTCAACATTTTTGTTTGTTTTGCTGTGGATATTGGTCGTCTCCAAGTTAAGTTAACCATTTAAAACAAAAGATGATTCTTTTGTAGTCGGCATATCATTAACGGAAGGGCATTTTAGGGAATTATAGCACTGAAGCTCGGTTTTTAGGGACTGTTTGGTTGGTTTTCCATTAAGTTCTGTATGGATAAAGCTGCCTGTGTGGATTAATCTGTTTGTATAGATTGGGAAGGTTTTTGGTTTGGAAGGTTTTCTCATAGATGGAAGAAACGTTTTTTTTAATTAGGAGAAAAGGTTAGGAAAATCCTTGGCTTTTTGCATAAAGCTCACCTCTAGAAGCTGACTGAATAAGCCACTTCCTATATCATTAAGCCATTACCAAACAGTCATGTATAGCTGACCAAATAAGCTGTGAGTCATATTAATCTCATTAAGTTGCTAACAAACAATCCCATTGGGCATTGGCACATTAATTACCAATGGGAGAACGAACGACCGCGGAGAAAAGGTTCACCTAGTCAGGTATCTTCTCCTAGATCTTTTGAAATACTTCTAGATGTTCATCATAAAAAAGTTATAAAAACATCAGTTTCAACTGCAAAAAAAAGATCATGGAGAAGGGAAAATGTGCATACCATCCCGTCATGAACTTTTTGGACGCCCAACTCCGGACAACTTTGGAGAAAGTCTACATGAAAATAATGACGTAAACAAGCTCGTTAGCATAAAGTAAAAGCCACATCCGTAACATTGTAATTTTAAGGTCGTTGCCAGGACTGTTATGATCAAAATCATGAGTTAGGTAGGTTTCATTAACAGATGGAAGATTGTCGCTATTATAAAAAACAAATAGTATTGAACTCTACAAGAAAACATAATCCTAATTCCATAAGGGTGAGTTTGGTATCCAGATAGAACAAGACTAGACAGAACATGACAATTGTTAAGCGTCTGGTAAGACAGGAGTGGACAGGACATGAATGGTAAAACGACAAATTTACACCTAATGGGTTGTTTATATCTTTTCTATATTTTGATTAATTTTTGTAACTTATTAAGTCATAATAAAATAAATATTTTTTATAACAAAATATATCATTAGAAAGTTTTCGTCAAGCCGATTAAAATGACACCAAAATATGAAGTTTATTAACTTCCAAATTTTATTTTATACCTTTTTTATATTATTTTTTATTATTAATATTTAATAAACTACATAATTAACCAAATACAGAAAACTTATAACAATAATATTTTGAGGACTGTAAAATGAAAGTTTAAAGAGGATAAAATACGAAAAATTAAAATTTAAAGAATGGATAAAATGTAAAGAGGGAGATGTATTTGATGTTTTAGAAGAGATATATGTTTTATTTTGAGGGTATGTTGGTAAAATATAGACTTTTTCCACCTTGTTCCATGGGGGTGGAACACGCCTCTTCCACTCTATTCCACATAAAAGTCATGTCAAACATGGATCAATGATCTTTGTTATGTTCTGTCATGTTCAATGTACCAAATGAAACCCAAGTGTCGTCACTGTATTTTTATCAAACACAAAAATGAAAAGGTCCCTGGTAGAATTAGGAGCCTAAGATATATACTCTCGTTGCAAAGTAAAATTTAAATCCATTCATCAATGTTTGGATGAGGCAAGGCACAACTAAAACCAAACTACCCATTTCCCTCTTCCTTGTATGCTCTCTCCAAAATGTACATCTATGAGTCCAACTCAAAATTTCAGGTTCACCAAAATCATCTCAGGCTACCAGTTGAAACCTCACATAACTTCATATTTCAATTTAATCCCTGAGTTCTGAAACGGGGATTCTGCTTTTATGAATCATATGCCCTTTAAGGCATGTTTGTTGGCAGCTTAATAAGCTTAATGGGACTCACAACTTATTCAATCAGCTATACATGTCTAACTGGTAGTGGCTTAATGATATATAAAGTGGCTTATTCAGTAAGCTTCTAGAAGGGAGCTTTATGCAAAAATCCAAGTTTTTTCCAAACCTATCACTTCCAATTAAAAAACATGTTCCTTCCATCTAAGGGAAAACCTTTCAAGTCTATACAGACAGATTAATCCACACAGAGACACCTTTATCCATACAAGACTTAATGAAAAACCAACCAAACTTAATGGAAAACCAACCAAACAACCCCTTAGGGGATGTTTTTTAATTGGGAAAGGCAGGTTTCAAAAAATCCCCTAGAAGCTTACTAAATAAGCCACTTTCTATACCATGAAGCCACTACCAAACAGTCGTGTATAGCTGATGGAATAAGTTGCGAGTCCCATTAAGCTCATTAAGCTGGTAACAGACAGGCCCTTAGTTGTTTCTGGCAACATGCCACAGCTTTGATGTACCATTTTCTCTACATAAATATTTATAGTTATTAAACCCTCAACCCTTCACTCCTAAGTATATCTGATTCGTCGAAAAGGTATTCAAATTCAATCCATCTTGACACTAGCAACTCAAGGTTTCAATTCTATCCCCATAAACCTCAAATCTAGAACCCTAATCAATACCCAATCTTCTAGTTACACAAAAATACTACAAACCAATTGAGAGAACAAACAATACAATTAACAGAAACCCATTACGATCCTATAAAAAGTTCATAACAAATAAATCCAACTAAAACCATAACCAGAGTCAGGTAGTTTCAAAATCCAAAACCCAATTAAGCATATATATATATATATGGAGAGAGAGAGAGATACCTCACGGCCGGCGTGATGAGATGATGAATTCGAAGAAGGTGAGGGTTTTGAAGACGCGCCGTCGTCATCGTCGACGGTGTTGGCGACCGGAATAAGCAGCTCCCGATCTCTGCTAACTGGTGATTTTTCATCGCCCATTACTCTCTCTCTATCTAAGACTTTTCTTGAAAATTCATAAAAAATGAATGTCGTCGAAAGATCTCGTGGTCTACAGATATAACCAGAAACAGGTTGAATTTTATATTGAAATTAAAAGATGGGGCATGTGAAGAGTTCAAGAAATTTGTTGTTAGTAAAAGGGGGCGAACCATTCAACGCTGCCAAATTAGTAAACCCTAGAAATCTTGATAGGCTGCAAATTGGTGATGGGCAAATGCGATTAAAGGAGTCAACGGCAATGACACCCTTTGGGCAAAGAATATATGTGAATGAAGAGAATCAAACCCATCGAAATTAAAACAACAAAAACCCAAAAGAAAGGGTTTATAATTGGGAAATTTAATAAGAAATAGTTATTTTCAAAATATACCAACGAAAACTTATGTGTAGTTTTAAAACATATACAATGTACAAAACAAAATGATATTGTAGCACCTTTGATGAGTGATGATTTTATAAACAAAAATAGAAAATTTTAAATAGTATGTTCGTATTAATATTAATATTTTCTTTTCAATTTTTTATGATATCTTTATATTTATATATTATTTAAAAATAAAACATTATTATTTTCTCAAAATCACATAAAACTGTATTATAACATTAACTGGGACAAAGAAAATAAAATAAAACATTAAAATCGAGATGTATCTCGTTGCATTATTCGAGTACCCTATAAATAATTGGGTAATTTAGTAGATATAATGACAAGATTAATCACCCATTTATTTGGTGTAGTAAATACACAACTCTTATTTCATAAAAAACATTGACCCCACAAATCTCAATCCTCCATGAACTTTCTAAAAATAGAAAGACCACAAACAAAAAACTTGGGACATACCCACAGAAAAACCGATCAAACTACCATTCATCCACCCAAAAATGCTTTCAATTTTCACCAAAAAAATTTGTTTCACAATCCCACTTTTCTACCAATTTCTTTAGGAAAAGTGGGTTTTTTTCAGCATTTTTAATTCTGGAATTTGAGTAAAAATAGGTTCATATATGAATCCGTTTTCATGTATCCCTTGATCATTCTTTGATAAATCCTAAAGGGATTATAAAGAAAGTACAAAAAAATTGAAATTTTCGACAAGAAAAAATGGCGGACGAAGAACAAACCTTGGAAACCCATGAAGAAGAAGAAGAAACGATGGACGTCGAACAATCCACAACGGATGTCGAAAAATCTGCAGATGTTAAACAAGAAGACAGCAGCACGTCAGATTCGGATAAAAGTACAGAACAAGAAAAATCGGAAACCGTTAAAGAAAAGCTGAAAACGGGTAAGTTTGTAACGACTTCGTTTTTGCTCGATAAGACGGTTTTTTAAGAAAAAAAGGATTTTCAGGTTTTGTAGATTTGGAACAGATGAAAGAAAAGTTTTCTAAGCTGCTTTTAGGAGAAGATATGTCAGGTGGAGGGAAAGGGGTTTCATCAGCTTTGGCTCTATCGAATGCCATCACAAATCTTGCTGGTAATTCAGCTAGTTTACAAACGAAGGCTTGTTCAATTCATTAAGGATGCATTTGGTACACAGGAGAGAATATAACAAAACAAAACAGAATAGAACAGAACAGGGATCATTGTGTCACGTTAGGAGTAAATTGGTCATTTTATTTGTTCTATCTTATCCAGTTCCGTCTTACCAAATGCTAAACAGTTGTTCCATTTTGTCCTGTCTTGTCTAGATACCAAACGCACCCTAAAAGTAAAAAACGACAAGTTTTCTTAACTTTCGTGAACAATTTGCAGCTCCGGTGTTTGGAGAACAACATAAACTAGAACCAGTACAACAAAAATTGGTTTTATAGGACGCCTAAAATGCCTAAGCGTCCTAATAAAATACTTTATAGAACCAAACAAAAAACGTTTTATCTAAAAGTGTTACAATAGGTTTATAGGACGCTTTATAGTTTGGTCCTATAAACTTACGTTCTGTAAAGTATCTTATTAATGATAGCTTGTTTAATTCGTTAAGAGTTAAAAACAAGAAGTTTTCTTAACTTTCGTGAACAATTTGCAGCTTCGGTGTTTGGAGAACAACGTAAACTAGAACCAATGCCAGAAGATCGAAAAATGAGGTGGAGAAAAGAAGTCCGTTGGCTCCTATCCGTGACTGATCATATCGTGGAGTTTGTCCCCTACCAACATACGGCCAGAGATGGATCAAATATGGAGGTCATCTACCTTTAAGTTAGGATATGGTACCCAAATGGTCAGTATATCGGAATATGCTTCACACTCTGGCTAGTAACGCACCACCAGTCAAAAGCGCATAATGGCTAGATAAACTAAAGGAACCCAGTAAAAATCCCACAAGAAGCTGGGTCTGGGAGGGGAGGATGTAGACATGCCCATAATGGCCAAACAATGGAGCCCATTTACCGTTATGCGGCCTCTTGGAGATGGGCTCCCTGTATCGGCCATTATCGGCCAATATACTAGACAAGGCCTCAAACCTCGAGCAAGAGGCTAATAATCCCAACAAGACAAAGGGCTTATATGTTAGCAGCTTAATGAGCTTAATGGGACTCACAGCTTATTCGGTCAGCTATACATGACTGTTTGATAGTGACTTAATGATATAGAAAGTGGCTTATTCAGTAAGCTTCTATCCGAGGTTTTATGCAGAAAGCCAATTTTTTCCAAACTTGCCCCTCCCAATTAAAGAACACGCTCCTTTCATCTATGATACCCTCCCAAACAAAAACTTTCCCAATCTATACAAACAACTTAATCCACACAGACATCTTTGTCCATAAAGGACTTAATGGAAAACCAACCAAACAGCCCCAAAGGTTATGTTTGGCAAACTAGCTTATAAACTAGTCACATTTGGTAAAAACTAGATGACAATGTAAAATGACCTAAAAGAATAGATAGAGGGAATTTATGTAAAATAGAAGGGGTATATCTAGAAAGAAAAAAAAAGTGAAAAGAAGCCCCAATAAGCTATTTGAAGTAGCTTTTCAAAAAGCTAGCTTATGGCTTACCAAAGAGGGCTTTTCCAATAAGTTCCTTAGGCCTTTTTGCCTTCCAAGGAGGACTCCTCAATTTGCCCGTTCAGAAAAAAAAGGGTAGACGCCACCCTTTGGAGTGCTCCTACCACATCGGTCCCACAACCATTATGGGAGGTAAATCAATGTGAGTCGGAAGTAAGTGGTCGTTCCCAAGTATGAGCGTGCGACCTCCTTTAGGATGCGTTTGGTACACGGGACACGACATAACAGAACAAAGATCATTGTTTCACACGTTTGGCAGGACTCTTATGTGAAATAGGAACAAAGTGGATCAGGCATATTCCATCCCACCCGTAGAACAAGGTGGAACAGACCTATATTTTACCAATATAACCTCAAAACAGAACCGAATTCTCTTCTAGAACAAATATGCCTCTCCTTTTACATTTTAATCATTCTTTAGATTTTATTTATTGTATTTTATGCTCTTTAAACAGTTACTTTACTGTTAAAAAATATTTTTTTATGCGGTTTCTATATTTTGGTTAATTTTATGAAATTTATTAAATATTAATAATAATAAAATAATAATATAGGAAATTAATAAAATAAAAATTGGAAACAACATAAACTTTTTATTTTGGTGTTATTTTAATCGTTTTGAACAAAAACTTTCTAATAATATATATTGTTAGAAAAATATTTATTTTATTATAATTTAACAAATTACATAAATTAATTAGGGGTAAATTGGTCATTTTATCTGTCTTGTCACGTCCTATCTTACTAAATGTTGAACAGTTATTCGGTCCCGTCTCATGTCCTATCTAGATACCAAATGCACCCTTGTGGATGCCCATCATCCTACTGTTGAGGCAACACATGGTATTCTCTGATCGGCTTATTAGCCAGCTCATTTCGGGCTTGAGTTCTTAGTGAAGCATATTGACCTCTTTTGGGTACCATATCCGAACAGTGTATGTGTGTGTATGAATTTTATAAGGTGATTGTGTGTGTTTTGTAGCTCAGGTTCCTAACATGCAATTCAGATATGCAGATTATGGTAACAAAACAAAGAAAAGATTTGCTCATGAACATTCCTGCGCTACAGAAGCTTGACAAGATGCTCACAGTAATGATTCATAATGTCAAGTTTTATAAACAAATGAATTTAAGGGTTGGTTCACGTGAGACATGCATGTTTTCGTGAGGCCCGTGAGACCACATAAATAACATTGAACCTTCACAGCGTAACACTGTGAAGGCCATCGCAGTGTTTCCGTTGTGAAGGTTTGATGTTTTTTGTACCTTCACAATGTTTTGCTGTGAAGTTTCAGTGTTATTTTGTGATCCCATGGTTTTCATGAAAACAGTCTGGTCTCACATGATCCCAAGTCAATGAATCTAATTAGAAAATATAGCTAAAATGATGATATGAAAACATGTTTCAGGATTGTCTAGACAATTTCAAGGATCAGAAAGAATTTTGGTACGTATCTAAAGACGCAAATGAATCCGAAAAAGGAGTACAAAGAAGCGATAAATGGTGGTTACCTACAGTGAAAGTTCCTCCAGGAGGGCTCTCAGAAGAATCAAGAAAATGGATGCAAAAGCAAAAAGATTGTGCCAATCAAGTCTTGAAAGCTTCGATGGCCATAAATGCCGAAGTACTTGCGGAAATGGAGATCCCCGAGAATTACATAGACGATCTCCCCAAGGTACAACCTGTAATACGAAAAAAAAATACAACTAAATATGCAACGTGTACAACCCTGGAAAGCTGGACTACTGCTCCTACATTGGCTAATTAATTGCCTTGAAAATCCTTCTGTAAACAGAATGAATGCAGCAGTCGGCCATTTTCATTGTTTCAAGCGTTAGCTTCATTGTTTCAGTGGTTAGCTTCATGGGTTGTACAACGTGTATGTACGCATGGTACTCTTCATTTCCATCTGCTACTTGGTTTGCAAGCTTTTCACGTTATGATATAAAAATTGGGCTACAAAAAACTAGTGGGTTATTTTTCTCATTATAGATTATTATCATTATAGGGTGAGGTTTAGGGGAAAACCGCAAAAAAATAAAAAACGGAGAAACACCCTGGTAACCGTTCATCTGGAAGGTATGAACATGTGCATACAAGTCACTTGTGAGCAATTTGTCTTGTATGCACACGTGCATAACATGCACATAAAAAACAAAAACAATTATTGTGTACACATGTGTGTACCGTCTAGAAGAATGGTTATCAGGGAGTTCCTTAGTTTTTCATTTTTTAGGGGTTTTCCCCTGAACCTGCTTCTATCATTATAACATCAAACTTAGGCCATGTTTGGCAACCATTGTTTTTTAACTTATTGAAAAAGACCCATTTGGTAAGCCCTAAGCTACCTCTTTTTTAACTACTTCAAATAGCTTTTCAATAAGCTACATACTTTTTGTTCAAAATTTTCCAATCTCGCCCCTTTTATTTTACATAAATGACCAAAAAACGTGTCTTTTAAGTCATTTTACATTGTCATATGACTTATTAGCTAATTTTTACCAAACATGACTAGTTTATTATGTAACAACTTGTTTTTCAGCTAACAACTAGTTTATGAGCCAAGAGCTAGCTTATCAGCTAGTTTGCCAAACATAGCCTTAAAGTTGCATTAGTTTAATAAGTAGATCAATCTTACACAATATTGATCAGTTTAAACTTATACATATAAACAGTTTGGTTCAAAACCACGAACCAAACCGAACTGCCGAACAATATCAATTTTGTGGTTTGGTACTTTTGGCTACTATACATTTTACAGTGGTTACATTGACTAATATGTAACCTGTGTTATTTCCGAACAGAATGGTCGAGATAGCCTTGGAGATGCAATCTATAAGAGCATCACAGTTGAGTTTTTCGACCCTGGGCAATTCCTAGCAACCATCGACTTGTCATCGGAGCACAAAATACTTGACTTAAAGAACAAAATGGAAGCTTCAATAGTCATATGGAAGAGAAAGATGCATCAAAAGGAGTCGAGATCGTGGGGTTCATCCATGAAAATGGAGAAGAGAGAGCTTTTCGAAGAGAGAGCTGAAACTGTTTTACTCCTACTCAAACAACGATTCCCAGGACTTCCACAATCGTCACTAGACATTTGCAAAATCGAGTCCAATAAAGTATGAAAAAAAAATCATTTTTCCTTCTTTTTTTCCTGTTCAATGGCTAAAGATTTATCAGGAGTCAAAGAGGAAAAAACTATTTAGGAGAATAACCTTCTAACAGATTTCTTTTATATGCATTACCTTATGACATATTTAAGAACACCTTCGCCTAACTGAAGAATTGTGAGAATATGTGGAACCCCCAGATCACTCTCCAAAAGAGCCCCGAGGAGAGAAGGTAGGTTCCAACATATATAGAGGGGAAATGGTCCAAGTCTAGCCGATGTGGACTCCAACACGCCCCCTCCAACAGAGGATAGATGGACACAAATTGTCCCAAAGTGTCGAGAGGGGCTAACCATTGTGTTGGTCCCCTAGAGTGGCAACATCTTGGCTCTGATACCATGTGAGAATATGTGGAACCCCCAGATCACTCCAAAAGAGCCCTTGAGGAGAGAAGAGGGATTCCAACATATATAGAGGGGAAATGGTCCAAGTCTAGCCTATGTGGGACTCTAACAAGAATGCCTCTCCCTAACACAAGAATTCTTCTTCCTAACACAAGAATGTCTCAAAATCTGTCAGAAGGTCATGCATTTAAAAAAATTGTTAGAAGGATGTTCTCCTAAATAACTTGCAACTCCTCTCTACATATTCCCATCTGCTGACAAGCATAAAGGGTAGCCAACTACACGATAACTTCCCGATTTCTGAACTATGTAGGATGTTGGTCACGCGGTTTTGGAGAGCTACTCAAGAGTATTGGAGAGTTTGGCGAACACGGTGATGAACCGTATAGAGGACGTACTCTATGCAGATGAATTGGCACAAAATGAGGCAAATAAATCACCAACATCTGATCACACACCTGGTCAAACTCCACGTCACACTCCTACAGGAACACCTACATCGACGACAATATCAGATTTCATGGGGTGGGGGTCGGATCAAGGAGAATCTTAGATAATACTTCTCCGATAACTACTTAATGAAGAACCAACCAACGCCAAGGTTGCAACCAAACCTATACATAGTTCAAAGAGAAGTATGAGTTACTATACCCCACTGGGTTTGAGTTTTCAAATAGTGACTTAAGTTTTGTTGCTTTTTAGAACATATTAAAATCCTCTAATGTTCTAATTATTGAGTTATAGATCAAGCTTTAAACTCAAACTCTTCTCGTGGTTGGGTGCTTTCTTCTTCATTGCTCTACATCCTAAGATTAAATCCTAGAAGACCCTGACTAATTATAGGGGATTTGGAGAGGTGGAGGGTGGGGGATAGGATTAGTGAGTTGTTAGTTAGGTTACCAGAAACCAAGGGTGTATAGTTTCTTTACCTTGGTTGTGTTTTTCTTTCACGTGCTTATATTTGTATGATATTGCTTACTTGTAACTAGCTTTTCAAATTTATCTTCTATGCAATTCTCTCTTTTGCACATTTTTCACAAGTCGGGGGTCTTCTCATAAACAACCACTCTACTCTTTGCGGAAGATGTCAAATATGCTTACATCTTACCCCACCCAAAACCCACCTCTGGCTGGGAAGTATTGGGCTCGTTTGGTTTGGTTTGGTACCAAATCATTCTTAAGGATGGTGTTGGCCTAGGCTATTTTTCAAAGGCTATCTTCCAACAAAATCCACCTTATTTGAGTAGTAGTTGTAACAAGTCTACTATTTATTGGTGTCTTAATCAAAACTGAGACAAGTCTCTAGTTGTACAGATCCTATCATCATAAAGAATCAAGAAAACAAATTACACTGTGGATGTGAATCAAAATCCACATGTGGAAATAAATGTTATCCTAAAGAACAAAATAATGTTAAAAGAAGTAGCAAGGTTTTATAAGGTGGAAATGGGCCTCAAGGCGTTTTCCTTCAACGAGGTGAGGAGGTCTGAGGCGTAAGCCCCGAGGCGGAAATATATATACACCAAAGTATGTATATATATTATAGACGAAAGATCGGGTGAGAATGAGAGTTAAGATGAGAAGCGTAAGAAGGGATCTGACCCTTGATCACCTTTAATCTCAAACCCACACATGAATCGTGCTTGATAAGGGGATTGATCTGGTGCATCTCATCCTAATGTGCATCCCATCCTAATGTACATCCAAGGGTGGGGATCCCTTCTTACATTTCTCATCTTAACTCTCCTTATCATCGGAACCCATACCTATATGCATATGTATATATATATATATATATATATAATACTACATTACTAAGAGGCGGTGGTTCAGTGGTTCCTAACAGAAGAAAGAGTGAAGCTGTAAGATAGGCTGAGAGGGTGTGGAAAGATCAGTTGCTTGAGGGAAGAAGAAGGGTCATACCACACTTTTTGATTGAGTGAAGAAAGTTCAAATTTTTTGGGTTTTAAAATATTAAAACTACACATTTGAGCCATTAGGCTTTGAGTTTTAGTTTTTTTTTAAATAACAAAAAGACGCTTATACTACTATAGATCATCCTGAGGCATATGCCTCGACACTGCCTCACGCCTCACTGAACCAAGGCGTAAGCCTCGTCCAGGGTCCTCAGGTGCGGTTTTAGGCCGCCTCGCCTCAAGGCATACGCCTCAAACGATATTTTAAAACCATGAGAAGTAGTGAAAATTTCAAACTACTATATGAATTTTCAACCCAGACAAGTTTTAACCTTACTATAATAAAGAAAAATGTATAAGCAGTTGGGTATGCATAAGAGTAAAAGCAACATTGTGAAGATGAAGCAAACGGTCACCTTACTATCAGTTCTTGCAAATACCATTCATATGCTCATTATCTGTTAGGAGGGATATGCAAATACGTTGGCCTGATAAGCGGCTTAAGTAATAAGTTGGCTCTCAACTCCTTTGCAAAATCAACAGTTCTGCAACACTGTAAAATCTTCCATTAAAGATAATATTAAGAAAGAGATATGGACCAACACAATCAATAAGTGAACATTGTAATCATAAAACGAAGATCAAATTTCCAGTACGAATGATTATTAGCCCGTTGTATGGATGCAAGTAAATTATACATTTAGAACAAAGAACTAATCGTGATATTCCCTATAACCAATTGTTATAGTCTTGCCCTCTAAAATCCCATACATATACCTATGCATACACACACCACAAACAAAATTTTCATCAATAGGATACATATGCCAAAAGCATTGCAGTAAGTTCAGCTTATTTAAGTATTTCTATAACATCTCAGGCCAACCGTACTAGATATTGTCCGCTTTGTCCACACACGCACCTGGACTCAAGTTTTTAAAAAGCCCCTGATAGAGGAGGTATCACGTCTTTATAAGGCAACATCTGTTCCCCTCCCAACAATGTGGGATCTTACATTTTCAATGCTAAACGTGTGTTTTCTGTATAACTCGTGTATGTGTGTGTGTGTCATATATACAGTAGAATTATATAAACCGAATGTAGAGCATTGACTATATTGTATCAGAGAGCATTGTCTTACCGATTCCACCGGGCTCCACCGCTGCTCCCTGTTTGCAGCCTCTGCACCAAGTTTGAACCCTAGCCACAATCGTCAAAATGGAGTCATCGTAGCTCTAAACCAAGCTATCGTCAAAATCAACTGGACCTTAGCCTCCTGCCTCCGCTGAATCTCCAAAATCAAACACTAACTCGAACCCTAATACATTTTGGTTGACCCTGTTAAACCCTAAATCAAAATCGACGGATTCTGCATCGGTAAACCTGATTTCTGAAGTTCTCCGATAGTGAATCATCTGGAACCAGTTGCAACTTCAACCGCCAAATGCAAACAAATTTTATTTTTATTTTTTATTTCTGAACATTTATTTAAACAGAAATTAATAAAAATAATCATTTTCCTCTAAGTATTTAAAAAAATATGCCTAAGGAGTCGTTTATAAAACACTTACCCGGTAAGCGTTTACTGGTAAAATTTAACACTATCACTTTCTTACCGGTAAGATTTTAGTCCACCAAAACTGCAGTGAATACAACAATTTACCTAGTAAGTGCTAACCATGGTAAAAGTCATCGTTCTCACTTACCGGATAAGACTTTCGGTCCTTGCCTCGCTCTTACCGGGTAAGATTCTTGGTCCCTGTCATATTCATCTGGTAAGATAATGTGACTTAATAAGCACTTACTCGGTTAAGTGTTTGGTAAACAGCCCTTAGGGTATCTTTAGATGGACTTTTAAACGATCAATTCCTTCTTTAAAGAGTATATTATTATTTATTTTCATCGGTATTTTAGCTCTATGTAATTATATATTATAAAAAATATTCGAGATCACGTGAGACCAATCTATTTTTATGTAATAATTATACACGTCGAATCAGCCATGTCTATTGTAGATTCCAATTGAAAAAAACGTGTCAATAATTCTTTTTATATAATTTCATACAAAGAAAAGTCAAAAAAGAGAACCCAATGAAGTTTCAAATTTTAAATGATTAACCTCTGAACTTTTAAGAATTCGTTACCTCGATTTTTTAACCCAAAAAATACTTGTAATTGGCTATAAATGTTTTAAAGTAAAAAAAAAAAAACTTAAATCTATTTTACTATGTGCAAACCCTACTGATTCTAACCCCTCGTACCCAACGACATCGCTCTTTTCACAGCCAACGACATCGCTCCCCCTACCTCCTCCATCGTCGTCGTTGCCCCTTGCCACCGATCTCCCTCTTTTTTATCTATTTTTTGTTTTATGAATGTTTCGTTTTACCCAGCAGTTTAATGAAGTACTGTTGGATCACCTATTGATTTGGTGATGACCCACCGGTTTGTTCCTCTATCATGTCAACACCTAGTAGTTATTGGTTTCTTGGTACACGCTTAAAGCAGTTGACAAAATCGAAGACTAGCTGATGTGAAGACAGAAGGTCATTGATACGATACTGTGGATCAACTGTCTAAATTACACACCAAAACTCCAAAGTAGTTTATTTGAATATTGGAGATGTTTTGAAGCTACTAGCCAATTGAAGGAAGATCTCCATGCACCGATTGAAGATGTGAAGACATAAGGTCCAAAGTAGCTGATTTGAAGATGTGAAGACAAAAGGTCCCCATCCTCATTGTTACCTTATCTTCCCCATCGTAACCACCGTCCACCTTCCACCTCTTCCCCACCGCTGCAACTCCAACCACTACAACACCCCATACTCGTTGTTGCACTCACGTTGACCCCTGCATTCTGACCCTCATGGATGACCATCTCCATTTATCCTATACATATAGAGAAGATCAAACTCATGGGTAAGGGGACAACAACCAAAAAACTAGCGGGTTAGGTGCGGAGTTATGACAAGGAGGAATTGGAGAGATGACGTGGGGAGTACACTGTCGTTTTGGTCCCTGTGTGTATATTGTATGTGTAGTTGTGAGAGGGTGCAAGTGTTTGTCGATAATACATGGAGGGTTTAACGTCGATGAGAACAGGGTTGTCCACTGGAATTGACCAACAGAGATTTGTGAAGAAAGGTTAAGGTTCAACAGGAATCGACATTAAGAGGAAAGGTTTTTCCCTTTCAATTTCTATCCCACATGTCATTGCATAAACGGTGATTTAAAAAAAGACAAAAAGTCAAAACACAAATACGCTCAAGGTTAAGAGATAAAATAGGTAGACGTTTGAGCCAGAGCCAAATCCATGAAAAAATGCATACCATTCTACGTAATAAAATGGAGACTAAGGGGTTGTTTGTTTACCTCTTAATAGTTCTATTAAGAGACAACCTCTGAACTATTAAGAGATGAATCATGTTTGACAAAAAAAAGTCTGCCTCTTAACGGTTCTACAAACCCTCTGAATGATTTTGTATCATGTGTCTCCCTTAACCATTAAGAGCCATAATTTTATTGTAACACAATTATATTTTATTTTATATTATCATAAGAGCCTCTTAATCATTCAGACCACTTAATCATTTTGCACCAAACCATTCAGCAACTGTCAAACAGCCTCTAAGAATCATTTTTGTAAAGACAAATGTACTACAGATACCAAATCCATAATTTACTCTTAATTATTTTCTTCATTACAATGATTATTTCTTGATTATTGAAAATAGTGAGTTTAATATTGGTTGGAGTATTTGTGACACTATTTGCATTATTACATGCTACTAATCAATAGGGACACCCACATGCACCCAAAGTCCCAAACCATATAATATTGAAGACAGCTAGCGTCCTCACCATTCACACAGCTAGCTTCCTCACCATTCACAATCATTTCCACCCAAATTGATGAAGAGGTAATCCCATGACCTCCATTTCTTGGGGTTTAATGTCATTTGAGGTTTGATTTCCATTGGTGGTGGTGGTTAAAGGAAAGAAAGATCGAACCTTTTCAAGAAAACCACCATAGATTCATCCAAATTAATCAGTTTTCAGAAGCAAGTTTAGCTCGGTTCGTGAGGATTTCATCGGGTTTCCCCAATTTGCCTTGATTCCAAGATTCCCTTTACCGATTCTTGGATCGCCGGCCGACGACTGGATTTTTAAGGATGCAGAGGGTTAAAGATCAACAGCATTCAAGATCTACAAAACCAGCCACCATTCATGCATCCGCTCAGTCCGGCGATCTTCCCGCTGTCCAGAGGCGTCTCCGTGACCAACCTTCGCTCATCAATGATCGAAACCCCGTTGTAAGATATCCCCATTACGTGTTTTGCATCAAGCGTTATGATTAGGGTTTTTTTTTTCATTCTATTTAAGGCTGTGTATATTGTTGATTTGATGAACACTACTTTTTCTATTTGTTTGATTTTTGTTGGTAAATCTTAGAAATTTAGAATTTAATTGGCTAAGATAAAACCTCCCGTTTCAAGTAAGTTTATCATACTTGCACACAACCTGTTTGATTTTATGCCACAGTAAAACTTTGAGCTTTATTATTCTAATCTGATAATTGATGATTTTTGGTGTTCTATGAGATAGATAATTTGAGGCCTACTTCACACGTTGAGATTTCTGTCAATTGATAAGGATCAAGAAAGTGTTGTAAACCCATAACTAGTTGCAAATTGAGGTTTTAGTTACCTATGGTGTTTTCCTTCCGGTTACTATGTGTGTTGGGGCCATCTTGGCATACATCTTGATTAATCTCATGGGACCCAGCAGAAAACAACTGGTAAAATCCACAGTGGCCCTGAGGAGACTCGAAGTGTCGACCACTGGGGAGGATCCACAAGGCTTAGCCTTTATTTGCCAGTTGAGCTGGTCTGGTGTTTGTTTAAGGCATTACCGAAGGTTCTTGCCATGGAGATGTTGTTTAGATGCATTACCCCTAACTCTTTTTCGGGTTGAAGACATAGGAGATGCTCTTTAGAGTCTTCTAATGTTATTGGCGAACCTGAAGTTATCTCTTGTGACATTTTGAAGATTTTATCCTTTTTGTTTCTGAAGATCTAAATATTTTTGTGTTTTCTGCTCACTTGTAAACCAAAACAAACAAAACAGACCCATTAAATCCCACTTGAAAGTAGGGTGTAGGGTGTAAGATATACGCACACCTGATCTCTACCCAAACGAGTAGAACGGTTGTTTCCACGAAGACCCCCTTTACTTATCTCATGGTTAAAATTTTCCAATAACCGTGTATTTTAATTCGATCTTTTATATTCTCGAATTTTTCTTTATGCAGATGGCGAACACGCCCCTTCATGTTGCTGCTGGTCATAACAGAGTTGAAGTAGTTAAGTTTCTGCTGAACTTTTCAGGTCCAGAAACAGTTGAGTTGGAAGCAAAGAACATGGTGCGTAAATAATTGATTCACTCTTAATTATGTGTGATTATTTGTTTGGTCTGGTTCTCATTTTTATTTTCATTAGCTGTCTGTAGTGATACTTAGGGGATTTTGGTTGGTTTTCTATCAAGTCCTGTAAGGATAAAGTTGTTTGTCTGATTAATCTATCTGTATAGATTGAGAAGGTTTTTGTTGTGAGGGTTTTTTGTAGATGTAAAGAGCGTGTTTTTTAATTGGGATTTGGGAGGGGAAGGTTTAGAAAAATGGCTTTCTGCATAAAGCTCCCCCTAGAAGCTTACTGAAGAAGCCACTTTCTATATCATTAAGACACTACCAAACAGTCATATATAGCTGGCTGAATAAGCTGTGAGTCCCATTAAGCTCATTAAGCTGATTAAGCTGCTAACATACAGGCCCTTATTGTTTTACTATCTTTTTGTAGTATGGAGAAACTGCATTGCACATGGCTGCTAAAAATGGTTGTAATGAAGCTGCAGGGCTTCTTCTTTCTCATGGGGCTTTTACCGAAGCCAAAGCAAATGTATGTATTTCTTCTCTTTTGTGAACATTGTGTCAACAAAACCCAAAAGAATCTCATTTTCTTTGAAGAAATTTAATCTTTTTTTTAACATGCAGAATGGGATGACTCCATTGCACCTTTCTGTTTGGCACTCACTGAGAGCCGAGGACTCCTCGACTGTGGTGACATTGCTTGAGCATAACGCTGACTGTAGTGCCAAAGATAATGTATTAGTGATGGACTGTTTTTACTTTTTCTGATGCATAAGGCTATGTTCGGCAAATTAGCGGATAAACATGACTAGCTTATCATCAGCCAACAGCTAGCTTATAAGCCGACAACTAGCTTATCGGCCAACAGCTAGCTTATCAGCCGACAACTAGCTTATCGGCCAACAGCTAGCTTATCAGCTGATAAGCTAGTTGTTGGCTATATTGGCTAATAAGCTAGCCGATGATAAACTAGTCATGTTTGGTAAAGCTCCCGATAAGCTAGATAACAATGCAAATTTACCAAAAAGGATAGGTTTTTGGTCATTTATGTAAATTATAAAGGGCATAATTGGAAAAAAGAGCTTACCTGAATGCTACTTGAACTAGCTGAAAAGCTAGTTGTTGGCTAATAAGCTAGCTATTAGCTTATTAAACTAGTCACTTTTGGTAAAGCATCCCGTAAGCTAGATAACAATGTAAAATTTCCTAAAAGGACTGGCTTTGTAGTCATGTATGTAAATTATAAGGGGCATAATTGGAAAAAAGAGCTTATCAAAATGCTACTTGAATTAGCTGAAAAGCTAGTTGTTGGCTAATAAGCTAGCTATTAGCTTATTATAAACTAGTCACATTTGTTAATGCATCCGATAAGCTAAATAACAATGTAAAATTACCTAAAGGATAGAGTTTTTGGTCATTTATGTAAATTATAAGGAGCATAATTGGAAAAAAGAGCTTATTGAAATGCTACTTGAACTAACTGAAAAACTAGTTGTTGGCTAATAAGCTAGCTATGATAAACTAGTCATGTTTGGTAAAACCTAGCTAATAAGCTAGATAACCATGTAAAATTACCTAAAAAGATAGGGTTTTGGTCATTTATGTAAAATAGAGGCATAATAGGAAAATAAAAAAACTCATGGAGCTTATTGGAACCTATTTAAAGTAGTTTTTCAAAAAGCTAGCTTATGGCTTACGAAACAGGGTTTTGTTTTTATTTCAGTGAACTCAAAAAATAAGCTAGCTTATGGTTGCCAAACACGGCTTAAGTTAACAAGTTGATAAATCTTGATCTGATTCTTTTAAAAATCTTTTTGGCCGCCACAGGAAGGCATGACTCCTTTGAATCATCTGTCACAAGGATCGGGAAACGAGAAGCTGCAGGCGCTTCTCAAGTCTTACTTAGAACAGCAGAGAAAGGTTAGAGCCATTGAAGCATGCAGTGGAACGAAAGCGAAGATGGATGAACTTGAAAAAGAATTATCGAATTTAGTGGGACTCCATGAGCTTAAGTTACAGTTACGGAAATGGGCTAAAGGGATGCTTTTAGACGAAAGGCGAAGGGCCCTTGGTTTAAGGGTTGGGACCCGAAGACCACCTCATATGGCTTTTCTTGGCAATCCGGGAACAGGTGATTAGGGCGTTTTTGTAATTTTGGGGTGGGGGTAGGGGGGAGATTGTAATTTCCATATCGGTTTTTAGAGTCCCACATAGCTATATTTGAAAACCTTCTCTTAAATATATGTTGGAACCTTGTTCTCTCCTCAAGGGCTCTTTTGGAGAGTAATCTGATGGGGTTTCACATATTCTCACATGGTATAAGAGCCAAGGACTACCATTTGGGACATCTTTGCTTGGGACTCGACGCCCTGAGACATTCCGTTGAAGGTGGTGTGTTAAGAGTCACACATCAGTTACGGTCTGTTTATTCGCAACTTAATAAATTTAATGGGACTCGCAGCTTATTCAGTTACGTGACTGTTTGGTAGTGGCTTAATGATATAGAAGGTGGCTTATTCAATAAGCTTCTAAGGGGAGCTTTATGCAGAAAGCCAAGTTTTTTCTATCCTGCCCCTCCCAATTAAAAAACACGTACTTCCATCTATAAAAAACCCTTCCAAACAAAAACCTTCCCAATCTATATAGACAGATTAATACATACATATAGCTTTATTCATACATGACTTAATGGAAAACCAACCAAACGGCCTCTTAGAGTTCCACATCGGTTAGACTTGGACACTTTCTCCGTAATCTATGTTGGAACCCCGTTCTCTCAATTGCTCGTTTGGAGACAATCAGATGGGGTTTCACATATTCTTGCAACTTCTTTACCTCATACATGCTAACCTTTTGCATTCTACAGGTAAAACGATGGTAGCTCGGATCCTCGGAAAATTGCTTTTTATGGTTGGAATTTTGCCAACCGATAAGGTTACGGAGGTACAAAGAACTGATTTAGTTGGAGAATTTGTTGGACATACCGGACCCAAGACTAGGAGAGTGGTATGCACCTCCCATTCCAAATTATGCTCTTTTTCTTTCATTCGTATATCAAAATCCGATCTTGCTTCGAGGGTTGTCCTCTTTATGATGTTAAGAGACCAAATTACCCATGATCGTATGTATGGATCGTTATGCAAAATAGCAAAGAACTAACCTTTAACACTCGAATCCAATTTTCGTTCATATATCAAAATCAAATCTTGCTTCGAGGGTTGTCCTCTTTATGATGTTAAAAGACCAAACGACCCCTGAGTGTATGTATGGATCTTTATGCAAAATAGCAAAGAACTAATCTTTAACACTTGAATCTCATTTTCATTCGTACATCTAAATCGGATCTTGCTTTGAGGGTGTCTTCTTTATGATGTTAAAAGACCAAATTACCCCTCATCATATGTATGGATCTTTATGCAAAATACCAAAAAGAACTGATCTTTAACACTTGATCCGATTTTCATTCGTATATCAAAATCAGATCTTGCTTCAAGGGTTGTCATCTTTATGATGTTAAAAGATCAAATTACCCCTGATCAGAAGTATGGATCTTTATGCATATATCAGAATTCAGAAGGACTAATCTTTAACACCAAAATGCAGATAAAGGAAGCCGAAGGCGGGATTTTGTTTGTGGATGAAGCATATCGATTAATACCCATGCAAAAATCGGATGATAAAGACTACGGATTGGAAGCCCTTGAAGAGATCATGTCCGTTATGGATAATGGTAAAGTAGTCGTTATCTTTGCAGGCTATAGCGAACCAATGAAACGTGTAATTTCTTCCAACGAAGGTTTTTGTAGAAGAGTGACGAAATTTTTCACCTTCGATGACTTCACCACCGAAGATTTAGCGAATATTCTTCATCTTAAAATGAATAATCAAACGGAGGGCAGTTTACTATACGGGTTCAAGTTGCATCCTTTGTGCACGGTGAAAGCCATGGCAACTCTGATAGAAACGGAAACCACCAAGAAACAAAGAAAGGAGATGAACGGAGGTATGGTGGATCCATTGTTGGTTAATGCTCGAGAGTATTTGGATTTGAGGCTTAGTTTCGATTGTATGGATACCGATGAATTGTTGACAATCACGTTAGAAGATTTACAAGGCGGGATTAGGCTATTGTCGCAGTAAAACCAAACAAACCCAGTATATTCCACCTAGATGGGAGATGGGTAATTTAGCTAAATGACCTTTTGACAGGTGCTTTTTAAAATCAATGACATTTTAACAGGTTTTTAGGCATTATTGTGATAAGCAGTTATATTCTCAAACCTGTTCGAAGATCATTCATTTAAAAAGAACATGTTAGAAGGTCGTTTAACCAAAGGGACCCATTACTGGTCGGATGATTTGACGGTGGACGTGGGATAGGTTGCAGAAGGCGAAGATGAAGACGGGATGTCGTAATCGTGGGAGGTATTTTGTTATTTTTCGATCTTTATGATATATAATTGATTATATCTATATAGAGAGGTGTAGTAGATTGAGTTTATAAGATGAAATTGATGGGATTTTAGATTCAATTACAGTTTTATGGTATGTTTGATGTAAATCTTCATTGAATTAAGAAATTGGAGACAATGCTATTGTTTTGATGTTCGTATTTTGACCGCGGTTTTTAATCGAAGGTCGTTGCCTTTTAGATCCGTGTTTTTCATGTTATGTATTGAGAAAAGTCGACTGATAACCACGAGTTCTGTAAGAAGTATATAATATTAACTACAATGGTGGTGCCTGATCGGTTTGAGCTTGGCTCCAAAGGTCAAAAGTTCCAGGAGGTCCCAGGTTCAAATCCAAGGAGGAATAAAAATCTCCGTGTGGCCACGGAGGTTCAAATGCGGTGACTCCGGGCTATCTGCAAAGCAGGTGGTTGCTCTGGGATTAGTCGGCTCGCATAGCGGGTTGGATATCCAGGTTAATAAAAAAAGTATATAATATTTATATATGGTCAAACTCGCACGCACGATGGTGAGGCATAAATGCTTGAGTTGTAGGGAGATCGGGATTTATTGATAGTTTGGATACTACTCTGTTAACGATCCTTTGGTTGATAACCACGAGTCCTAAAAGTCTGTTAATTGTTTCAAATTTACTGGTAATCCGAATACTGATGTGCCAACGACTCTTTGGTTGATAACGATAATTAAGATATTGTTGTGTTAATGGTTTCTGGTTGATAACCATGAGTCCTGAAAAGTCTATTAATCATGTTCAAAATATACTGATAATTCAGATACTGGCGTGTCATTAACCCTTGGCTGATAACCATAAATCATAAAACATCGCTTAATTCTGTTTTTAAAGAGTCCTCCTTGCTTGACTACACGAAGGTTAAGGAGATTGGTATTTACTGATAATCTGAATGCTTCTGTGTTAGTAACCTTTTGGTTGATAACCAGTCTTAAATGTCTATTAATCTTGTTTAAAATTTACTGGTAATCTAGATACTGATTTGACAATGACCCTTTGGTTGATAACCATTTAGTTTTAAAAAGGGCAAACTGCATGAAAAAATAACGTACTTTAACTTGATTATTATTTTGGGTAACGTACTTTTAAAACTTTCATTTTGGTACCTAAGATGTAAAATTTTAAACATTTAAGTATCCGGGTAATCGGTTGAAGCATTAACCGGTTACCATGCTGATGTGATATCCAACTCAATATTATTTGTTATTCGACCAAATTCTATCTCATCATTCGCCATATCAGCATGATAATCGGTTAATATTCTAACCAGTTATCCGGGTACTTAAATGTTTAAAATTTTACATCTTAAGTACCAAAATAGAAGTTTTTAAAGAATGTTACATAAAATAGGAATCAAGTTAAAGTACGCTACTTTTTCAAGCAATTTACCCTTTTAAAAATTCATTTAATCTTGCTTAAAATGTCCTCTCTAATTCAGAGGAATGTTAGGATTTAGGTGTCGTTTACCAAACGCTTAGTCGGGTAAGCGCTTACCAAGTCACTTTACTTTATCGGATAAATATGACAAAGACTAAAAATCTTACCCGGTAAGAGCGAAGACAAGAATCGAGAGTCTTACCCGGTAAGTGTGGACGATGACTCTTACCATAGTTAGCGCTTACCGGGATAAATTGTTGCATACAATGCGTTTTAATGAATAAAATCTTACCCAGTAAGTAAGCGATAGTGTAGAATTTTATCAATAAGTGTTTACCGGGTAAGTGTTTACGTAAACGGCCCCTTACCAGTAATCTGGATATGTCAAAATAACCATGAATTCTACTAATGATTTTCTATATATATATATATTTTTTTATTTTAATAAATTATAAATATTATATATAATAAATATAATATTAAAAGAATCAACAAATGACGCTTTGGCCGAGTGGTTAAGGCGTGTGCCTGCTAAGTACATGGGGTTTCCCCGCGAGAGTTCGAATCTCTCAGGCGTCGTATTGTTTTTACCATTTTATTGAGTTAATTTACATTTTTGGTCCCTGTGGTTTATTACAATCGCAACTTCAGTTTATATAGTTTTGAAATTGCGATTTTCGTCCTTATGATTTTTAATTTATTGTTATTTTCGTTCTTATGATTAACAATTTATTATTATTTCGGACTCAGTGTTTTATAGATATTTACTATTTTGGTCCTTCATACTTACAAGTGGAATTAGGACATAAACGAAAATAGTAATGAATTGCAAATTATAGGGACCAAAATTGTAATTTATAAACTACAGGGACGAAAATATAATTTATTAACAGACTACAAGGACGAAAATCATTATTTACTCTATTTCATATAAATTTTATGTTTGGTTTTGTATATATATTTTATTCAAAACTGTTTATTTTTTATAATATGATGTTCTCTGTGTTTTTTTTATGAAAACAATGCAAAAGATCGACAACAGATACCTGTATTATCAACCGAATTCTAGTTTATTCTTACAAAATACGGGTTTTCTTTTTCTCTGTGTTTTTTTTATTAACCTGAATATCCAACCCGCTATGCGAACCGACTAATCTCAGGACGACCACCTGCTTTGCAAGTAACACGGAGTCACCGCATTTGAACCTCCGTAGTAACAAAAGGATTTTTATTCCTCCTTGGATTTGAACATGGGACTTCCTAGTACTTTTGACCTTTGGAGCCAAGCTCAAATCAATCAGACACCACCCTTTTGGTTTTTCTCTGTGTGTTTTATGAATATGATGCAAAAAACCAACTCAAAGACGTGTATCATGGATCCAATTTTTTAGTTCTCAGGATGATGTGTTTATTCGGATGCTTATTAGCTCGTTTGGGTAAACTCTTACTCTTTCTAACACTTCATCTGCGTGTACTTTTCGCTCTGTTATTTGACGATGCAGGGTACATATATGCATAGGATTGAGTTCAAACAAGAATAAATGTCTATATCAATGTGATTTTGGACTATGCAACTTCATTAATCGAACATGAATTCCATGTGATTTTTAGTCCAATTGACATTTTCGTGTTTTCATATTTTAACCATATTATCGTTTAAACCTATCACTCTCTCTCTCTCTCTCTCTCTCTATATATATATATATATATATATATAAATATTTATCTATATATAATATATGTATATGTGTGTGTATATATATAGGGTTGAGTTTAAGTGATAATGAAAGTTATGATGACAAAGGGTAAGAAACGTCTTCACTCTTGGATTAATTCTAATTGAAGAGACACTAATGAGATATACTAAATCAATTTTTTTTTCTAAAGCGTAATTCATGAGTTATTTTGAGATTAAAAATAATCAATGGTTTAGATCCTCTCTTACACTTCTATTCTAACATGATCATGGATGTGTGTGTGTATATATATATATATATATATATATATATATATATATATATATATATATATATTGACTTGGGATCATGTGAGACAAATGGTTTTTCGTGAGACGCGTAAGACCAATTTTCAACCATTGGATTAGATCTACAATCTGAACATTCATAATCACAATATTGCTACGAGATTTCTCAATAATCACAAAATTACCACCGTGCAACTTTAGACCATTAGCTTATAATGTTGATCAATGAACATAAATTGGTTTTACGGGTCTCACGTAAACCCAACTCTCTCTCTCTCTCTCTCTCTCTCTCTCTCTCTCTATATATATATATATATATATATATATATATATATATATAGAGAGAGAGAGAGGGTTGGGTTCACGTGAGACCAAGGGTTTTTCGTGAGACCCGTAAGACCAATTTATGTTCATTGATCAACCTTATAGGTTAATGATCAAATGGTCTAAATTGCACGGTGACAATTTTATGATTATTGAGAAGTCTCGTGGCGTTTATGAATGTTTAGATTTTCATATTGTAGATCTAATCCAAGGGTTGAGAATTGATCTTACGGGTCTCACAAAAAACCATTGGTCTCACATGATCCCAAGTCTATATGCAGAAACATAGAAATAATGGTATATATTGGAAGGTAGTGAGAGAGTGGGAATGGTGGACAAAAAGGGTGGTATACGGAATGCATGCTACAATTGTGGAGGTGTACGCAGCGTGTCAGCCGCCACCACCACCCATTGCATGTCACATCCATTTTGTTTCTATACCCTCCCCCACCCCTTACCACTCATATACATATATATACATGCATATATATATATATAGATATATATATATATACATATACATGCATATATATATATAGATATATGTGTATGTATGTATTATGTATATGTATACACACATATATATTATTATAGAGTTGAGTTTCGATGTGAAGGAAAGTTATTGTGACAAGTGTAAGAAGCGATCACCATCCTTGGACAATCTTAATTGAATGTCAACACTATTAAAGTGCATCGAGATGAACTAGATCAATTACCTTCTAAAGCGCAATTCATGAGTGGGAATGAGATTAAAAGTGATCAACAGTTCAAGTCCCTTTAAATCTAAAAAAAAAAATAAGGACTTTGTTTTGGCAACTTCAGTCTTCATCCCATATTTGAACGATTAACGGAATTTGTAAACATTAAAAATATTATAGTATTATACTTTTCAAACAAGAAAAAACTATAAGGCGAACTTATCAAAATAGAACTATGTAAAAGGACATGATGTATTGAATATTGAAATTAATCTATGAGTTTAAGCAATTTATTGCATCTACAAAATGATGGATTAGGCCCTTTAACATCCACCGTATTGAAAACATAAAATAGTTAATACCTATTTGAAGTCCAACAGCAACAGATGCTCACTATCAAAATTTCCGAAGCCCAAAAACTTATTAAATGAATATTAGTATACCGGGTACGGGGCGGGTCGGGGGTACAATATCCTGCCACTGAACCCATTTCAGCAGGGAATTCCCGTCCTCGTTCGGGTCGGGTGAGCCGAGTTCCCCACCAGGTCGGGACAAATCACTATCCTCAACCACAAGGGTGGTATCTGATTGGTTTGAGCTTTGCTCCAAAGTTCAAAAGTACCTGAAGATCCCAAGTTCAAATCCAATGAGGAATAAAAATCCCCTTGTGGCTACGGAGGTTCAAATGCGGTGACACCTAACTATCTACAAAGCAAGTGGTCGTCCTGGGATTAGTCGGCTCGCGTA